ATTTCCTATCTCATTTGTGCTTTTATTACAATGATCCTCAAACATGCAGACAATTTTTGAAATTGTTTGGAGTCAGGAGAGCCTATAAGAATTTTTAAAAAGTCATGCTCTGCTGGGAGATGTTCAAAATGCCAAATTTTTGATTGAATACATTGCCTAACTTGTAAGTAACGAAAAAAACTTGAATTGGATAGGTCATACTTTTGTTTCAGCTGTTTAAACGATGCAAAATTCCCATCCAGATAAAAGTTTTCTGTCGAGGCTAAGCCCTTCCTTCTCCAGTCTCTGTAGCATTCGTCTGACCACTGTTACGACCTAAACCCAGGTCTAGGATCCCGGGAGGTCTAACACAGGAATGTGACCGCAAAACGGGGAGCACTACACCAAATCACATTCGACAAAACAAACCTTTATTAACAGAAAGCGTCCCTACGGGAGAAAACGACAGCACAGAATGATGAAGACAAAAATTATATTCCACAAATGTTCTAACTGAATATGGCCCTTAACCTGTCGGCCTTAGCATGTGTTTATCTGTGCCGAAACTGGGGATTCATCCAGAGAATCAATATACGAGGCCTTACCAGAAACAAAGGGGGAGCAGATTCAACCAGACAGTAATCACCCTCCACAACGTAACGACACACGGAAGTGAGAACATACGCCTTTCCCTCAAGTTATGTCCAAACCGTCTGGATAATACCCTCGAGCCTCCAAAGTTCCAAGAGAAAAGAAAACCCTTTCCTCCTCTCTCCTTTCCTGCTCTCTCCTTCTCCTCCTCGCTCGCTTGTGAGCGTGATGATTTTATGCGCTCCAGTTGGAGAATTCCTGATGGTGTTCAGCTGTGCAGAGGGAGGCCGGGCGCTCTCCACGATGCTGAACCGGAGTAGTGCAGAGGAGGCTGGGTGCAGGCACACTCTATACTGGAGGGAAATCCAAGGCTCGTAACACCCCCTTACCTAAAAAGAAAAAGATGGGAAGTGAGAACAAAACAAAACCCCATCTTTTTACAAAACTAAATGTAACACACCAGAAAAATGGAACGGAGGTTGAGTCCCCGCCAACTACCTGACCGAAGCTAACTAAAATTAAACCTAGTCTTCATGCGGACCATGGGTGGGCAGATTAAGCACATTGCGTAACACACAATAAAAAACCAGCAAAGAGAAGGATAACCCAGCTCTTCCTGGGGTGCTCCCGAGAAGGCGCGAAATGCCAACGCTAACCCATTTGCCACAACACTACAAAAACAATAAACAGATTGATTCCTAAAAAGGAAAAAATCTCTAGAACCTGTCCAGGGGATCTTAACCTTCTGGATAACAAAATGGGTGTTACTGTTTATTAAAAGATCGAGACAAACAGTCAGCGATTACGTTCTCTGATCCCCTTTTGTGGCGGATCGTGAGGTTGAAGTCCCGAAGGAACAGGGCCCATCTCATCAGACGCTGGTTTTGGTTATACATCCGAGATAAAAACACCAAAGGATTATGGTCAGTGTAGACCAGCAATTCATGTCCAGTACATACATAAACTTCAAAGTGCTGGAGGGCTAAAATCAGAGCTAGTGCCTCTTTCTCAATGGTTGAATAGTTCAGATGGCAGGAGATGAACTTCTTCGAACAATAGGCGACAGGATGGTAAATCCCGGCACCATCTTCTTGCAATAGGATGGCTCCCATCCTAGCATCACTAGCATCCACCTTCCTGGAAGGCCTTAGAGATATCTGGAGCCAAGAGAACCGGGGCGATGCTCAGTAAACGCTTACAGCCTTCAAAGGAGGCCTGGGCAGCATCCGTTCATAAAAAGGGGACCTTAGGAGACAGCAGAGAGGTTAAAGGTGCCACCACTACAGCAAAGCTTTTGCAAAAACACCTATAATAACTCGTCATTCCAACAAAACGCCGTTTGGATAAGCTGTTACGTTTTGGTTTAGAGTTAATCTTTTTTGTGGTGTAGATCTCCCTTTTATTCCTCACGCACATAAGTGACCAAAACAAAGCAGCATGGAAACACTCCGTCTCCAACCACCTCTCAGGCAGCAGCCTGCACTCCCAAGTTCTACACGTCACCAGAACATAACCAACCACAACACAATAAAAGCAGTGTTATACAAAATGGAAGGCCTGTGGTGTTTATTCTCTTACAGTAAGAATTTATCCATTTTTTTGAGGAATTTATCTATCTCCCACTGGAGAGCAGAATAAAGAGAGAGTGGTGAAGAAGTTCATACAAAAGCCAGCTTGAACAAGTGAGTATTCAGCTGCTTTTTAAAGGAGTCCACTGATCTCAGGCTCAGGGGGAGAGAGTTCCAGAGTCTGGGGGCCACAGAAGCAAATGATCTGTCACCTTTGGTCTTTAGCCTGGTGCTGCACAACCAGTAGGCTTTGATCACTGGACCTCAGGGACCTGCTGGGGGTGTAGGGACTAGGAAGATCACCAATGTAAGATGGTGCTTGCCCATGTAAGGCCCTATAGACCAGAACCAGGATCTTGAAATGAACCCTGAAGTTGACTGGCAGCCAGTGAAGCTGGAGGAGAAGCGGGGTGATGTGGGTGTGTTTGGAGGACTTGGTCAGAAGCCGAGCACAGGCATTCTGAACCACCTGTAGACGGTTCAGGGAGGTTCTGCTCAGACACGTGAAAAGAGAGTTACAGTAGTCTAAGCGTGAGGAGATGAAGGTGTGGAGAACTGTCTCAAGTTCAGAGCGAGACAGAATGGGACTCAGCTTAGCAATGTTCCTGAGATGGAAGAAGGAAGAGCCAACAAGAGAACTGACATGAGACTCCAGGGTGAGAGCTGGGTCAAAGGTCACGCCAAGATTCCTGACAGAAGGTTTGGTGTGAGAAGCAAGCTGACCAAGAGTCTCTGACTTTGGGAACCAGCTTGTCTGGGGCACAGATGAGGATCTCAGTCTTATCTTCATTCAGCTGAAGAAAGCTCCCAGCCATCCAGGTTTTGATAGAGTCTAAGCAGGTGTGTAACAGCTGCAGCTTAGACATCTCATGGGGCTTAAAGGAGATGTACAGTTGGATGTCATCTGCATAAAGATGGTAGGAGATTCCTTTGAAGGAGCTAGGGTTGTCATGGTAACCGGTGTAGCGGTAAACCCCGGTAAAAAAGTTGACAATAATAATAACCGTCTTGTTTTTAAAAAAAACTATATTATCTCGGTGGATTACCGCGGCTGCGTTGTAGGCGCGGTGACCCTTACCAGCCACCGTATCATCTGCTGAAGTTGCTGGCGGCACATGCGCACTTTGTTGTTTACAACCAAAACTTTCTTGAAGCTAAAGCTGAAATAATGGCCAAAGGAGGAGACAGCAGCGCTCAGGACATTTATTATCCCTCAAAGAAGACAAAGTCGGAAGTGCGGGCATCTTTTGGATATTTGAAGAATGCAGAGGGACAGTTGATACAAGACGGCTATCCTGTTTGCAGCACATGCAGAAAAAGTGTCTGTGAAAGGCAGCAACGCTTCAAATCTCATGACACATCTGCGTGACCATCACCCACAACTCTACAGTCAACGCAAGGCAAGCTAACGTTAGCTTTTTAGCTGAAATGCGTGATCCGAGGATTTGGGTTGAGGGAGAATGCAACGAGTCGCTATATAAAGCAGCCGCAGCGCCGCTACCTGCATATAAACTGTGTCACGGACGCCGCCATATTGAAATGACGCTATGCATTACGGGGCTCCCAGGGGCAGATAAGAGTTGGTCTCTCTCCGAGAATCATTATGAATTTAACAATGATTACTGCCTGATGACATTTTCCCCACATCTGCAAAGCTCACTGGAACACAAACCGATGACAATATTTTCCTGATATAGGGTTTATTACTCAAGTAAGGGTAAAAAAGTATCTGATTAGAAGGCTACTTGAGTACTGAGTATCATCTGATCTAATATTTTTAAAATGATGACATCAAACAGACAAAACATAAGATGTTATGGGCAAATATTGGTATTTTAAAGACTAAAGGGGAAAAATGTAAACAAATGAACAACATAATTACAAAATAACACATTTTAGGCAAAATTTAGACGCAAACTGAGGACAATATTTTCCTGATATACAGGATTTATTTAGCTGTCTCAAAATGTAACACGTTTAGAAAAGTACCACGATAATAATGAAAACCGTGATAATTTTGGTCACAATAACCATGAGGTTAGATTTTCACATCGTGACAACCCTAGAAGGAGCTCAGGATGTGCTGAAGAGGAAGCAGATAGAGTCAAGTCAAGTCAAGTTTATTTATATAGCGCCAAATCACGACAAGAGTCGTCTCAAGGCACTTCACATAATAAACATTCCAATTCACAGTTCATTAAGCCAATCAGAAATAATGTTTCCTATATAAGGAACCCAGCAAATTGCATCAAGTCACTGACTAGTGTCAGTGACTATACAGCAATCCTCATACTAAGCAAGCATGCAGCGACAGTGGAGAGGAAAACTCCCTTTTAACAGGAAGAAACCTACAGAGAATCCTGGCTCAGTATAAGCAGCCATCCTCCACGACTCACTGGGGATCGAGAAGACAGAGCAGGCACACACACACACACACACACACACACACACACACACACACACACACACACACACACACACACACACACACACACACAAGTAATGTGTCTATAGTTATATTGTGATGTCTTAGTAAATATTGTATTTGGTGAAAGATAAACTTTATTGTAATTATCCTAGTGGATCTATAATTAAACGGATAAACTAGTATTAGCACATCAAAAGTCAATGAAAACAAAAAGTTAGGAGAGGGAGGATGTTTAAGTGGTTAGCAGCAGTGTGCTAGTCGATGGCCCCCTCCATGAGGCCACCACAGCTCAGCAGAACGTCATTGTAGCTTGTAGGTGGTGGAGGACCTAAACTTTGTTTCAGCCCTAGTTATAATTTTTACTAAAAGTCGGACAACAAACCTGCCTGTTTTCATTTCTGAAAATGTGCGGCTATGTGTCAGGTTCATTATTTTTCAAAACATCTTTAGATGCATCAGATGATTAGCAAAATGTGCTTTCTTATTGTCACATTAATCAGCTTTCTGTTTGGTCTGTTTGTCTGTCCAGAACTCCCACTGTATGGTGTCAGGAAAGATGAGGAGGTTCTGAATGACCAGCCGCTCTGGAACCAGGAGAGGACCTCCAGTTTGGGCCAGGAACATCCAGAACCTTTACAGGAGGAATCAGAACCTCCACTGAGGCAGAACAGTTTTAATTTCATGGGTACTTCTCCTTCTGAAGAAACAGACAGCTGTAAACCAGAACCAAACAGGAACCAACCCTTGTGTCACAGTTCTACTGAAGCTGAGAACCAAGATCAGGATGGATGCAGGAATGAAAACTCAACACCAAACAGCAATCAAGAATTGACACAAAATAAAAAAATGCCCAAAAACCAAAGATCACAGAAACCTGTAGATGGTGATAAGCACAAGAGGGCTCACAGACAGGAGAGACTATTTTCATGTGAGCTTTGTGGAAAATCTTTCAGTTACAATTTTCTTTTAAATATTCACATGAGATCTCACACAGGTGAGAAGCCATATCCTTGTAAAACTTGTGGTAAATGTTTTTCCTACAGCAGTGACCTGTCTCGACACATGAGAACGCACACAGGTGTGAAACCATATCCTTGTAAAACTTGTGGTAAATGTTTTTCTTACAGCGGTGACTTGACTCGACACATGAGAACTCACACAGGTGAGAAGCCATTTCCATGTAAAACTTGTGGTAGATGTTTTACTGAAAGTTGTGACTTGACTCGACACATAAGAACTCACACAGGTGAGAAACCATTTCCATGTAAAACTTGTGGTAAATGTTTCTCTATAAGAGGTAACTTGACCATTCACATGAGAACTCATGTGAAAACAACAAGTGAAGAGAACAAGTGAAAGTCTTTTCCATTTCTGATCCAAAGGAAATTCTGCCAGACATTTTCCTTAAAGGCACATTATGTAGAACATTCTTTTGTTTTGAAAGGAGAAAAACTGAAAATCCCCGCAGCCAGATGGATATGAAATATGTTTCAGCATAACCTTCCTTCCAAAATGCCTGAAACTAGGGCTGCAACTAACGATTATTTTCATAATCGATTAATCTGTCGATTATTTTTTCGATTAATCGATTATTCGGTTTGTTATTGTTTAGCTATTTGACCTATACAAGTGATGAATACATTTCAGTTGAGAAAAAGAAAAACAAGAGAATTGTGCAGTTGACTGCAATCTATTTTATTGCACATGAACACAGTCAGCAGTGTAAAATGAGCTAAACAGTGCAAAATATCAGTCCAGAATAATTTTTTGGCATCAAAATATAAGAGGTAAATTCCATAAAAAATAATGTAGACTCTAGAATAGAGTTTGTAAGTGGTATGCATTGCTGGGGGGTGATTGTCTTGTTCCCCATGTAGTTGTCCATCGTTGCTTGTTTTTTTCTGCATAAGAAACACAAATTGACTGAAATAAGTACACTTATAAAATAAAGCAGCACACACACTACAACACTAAATCAATATTACATTATTTGAATTAATTAACAATATACAGGGATCATCATTTATTTTGACAAAAATGTGTTGTGAGGCGTTTTACAGCGTTAGACAGTAAAACAGCCTTTTAATAGTAAAAAAATGACTTTCTGAATTTCTCCTGGATTTAAAAATTGAAATCGTACAACTATGCCGCGTTATATTCACCTGGACACAGCTCGTCTGTATATTTTTCTCCGCAGAGTTGTCCTTTTTTGAATGAGGAACATTGTTATGGGTTTGTGCAGTTTTTCTCTTAACGAGAACATTCTTATAAACAGACGTGCTAAATTTGGCAAGCGTATGATACACAACACGGAGGAGATTCACGATTGCATCTAGTCAATCAGAAGTAGAACACCGTAGACTGGCGCGGAAAAAAAACATGTTTAACATCCACTATAACGAACTCAGCTCCCAAATTTTATCTGCGTTAGCTTGTTTATTTTCTGTTACTTACTGGATTCACCGGACTTTCCTCTGCTGCATTTGCCCCCACATGTTTTTGTCTCAAATGTTCACTTAGGGACGTCGTGCTTCCGTGCCATGCTAGATGGTTTTTGCATATTTTGCAGGTCACCCGTTTTGCATATTTTGCAGGTCACCCGTCTTTTCAAGGCATCTAGTGTGAAGTGCTCCCATACTTGTGAGGTTTTTGTCCAGGGTTTCTCTTGTTTTGTCGCTTCTATTTTTCTTCCGTATTTCTTCTTGTTCTGCCATCTCTCACAGCAAGATGAGCGTCAGTAACGTGATACGTCATGAAAACCGAGGGCACTTATTGGCTCATTTCTTCTTCTACGGCTCCACTGGTAGATCAGTGGCTCATTACTGCCACACACTGGCGGCAAATTTAACAGATTGTAACCGATGTCAGATTGTGGTAAAAAATAGACTTTATGCGGTAAAATATGATTATTAAACAACTAATCGATGACTAAAAAAGTTAACTATTTTAATAATCGATTAAATCGATTAGTTGTTTCAGCTCTACCTATGTATTAGGATTTTCTCACTGTACATTTCTCCCTATATTCTTACATGCTGCACCGTTACCTTCTCAAATGAAAATTCATACTTGAGATTTTTGTCCTAATAGTTTCTTAATTGTAAATTAAGAAATTAACGCTGATGCGTTAAGAGTACCCTGGCCTATCCTAGTTTGATACGGATACATTAAAATTTTGCACTTTTAGTACTTGTGTTGCTCACTGTTTTCATGCTTTTGCCAACCAGTATGGTGACGTATGTGCAAAAGGCCATTTGGAATGTTTACTTTGTGGAGTGCCTTGAGACGATAAATAAACTGAATTGAAAACTGAAACTGAATTTTAATCTACCGTCACATCGACTTCTAAAATTAGTCATTTCTGCCCACTGACAACGTAGATTGATTTTTTTTTTGTGGCAAGTCAGTGTAACATTTAATCAATAATCACACATCAGTAATTCCTTTTTACATTGCAAAAATAAAACGTATCCTTGTTCGGTCTTAGTCAGACACGTGACCTGCATGTCAACCGCATCCACTTAGTGCAATTTTTGGTGTATGTCTGCCATTCAGCCACAGGGATATCCTCGTGACCAAGTAGCCAGGGTGCATGATCGATCGGGATACAGTGACAGGAGGCTCACCCTGTCACATTTGCAAATAAAATGGAAAATCAAAGGAAAATGCAGAACAAAGCAAAGATAACAAAGCTTGAATGGACATTTCAAAGGACAGATCAGGCTCTAGCCAGCTAGCAAGCTTTCAGCTGTGACGAATCTATGAAGTGTAAATTTAAATCACCAAGTAACACAATCAGGTTTCTCTGAAAAGGCAATGACTAGGATTTTGATTTATTTTAATCACTTATTACTTGTTTGCTAACCATTGATGTGTGTTGTTAAAATAAAATTCAAGAGACTCCTGAATTTCAATTAAACAGGATTTTGAGCAATATAAAACTGTTGTAGCATTGTGGTTTAAGCTCTTTTATGAAAGAGGAACCATTCTACATTGTAATTTGTGATATTAATTTTATTAAATTAATAACCAAATTGTATAGTTTTAAGAAGACTCAAAGGTTGTTTTCATCGATAAACTGTCGATAATATCCTTGGGTCTGTGTTTCAGTTCAATGAAGAAACAAGTTTGACAATTAAAAGTTTTAATTCTTCAAATTAAACTAATGATTTTGAAATTGACAAACAGGAAATAACAATCAACATTGGCAACTTTGTGGGACAATCTTTAACAGTTGATATGCTGTTCTTGCTCAAATAGACCTTGTGATGAGTGTGTGAAGATTGAATATGAGGTGAGCTGAGTGCGGGTGTGCATCTGATTTTGCTTCAGGAAGAAACAGGTGTCTGAGTGAAAAGTGATGGTTTGAATAAACTTAGGTTTAGTTGGAAAAGATGCATCAAAACGCTATCTGTCGTGTTCTGCCTCACCGAAAATCGGACACCCTTTTAGATCCGGGACGCCAGAGGATGGTGATGTCCATCCAGGTGACACCAGCGGCTGGCAGAGGAGACGGAGGTGTCCGCGGCCCGGTCCAGAGATGCCCTCGGTACACGATGATGGTAAAGCGTTTTGTCGATGCGTTTGTTAAGTTTAGTTCACTCAGAAATCAAAAGACTCGGTAATGAGTCTGCGTTAGAAGTTGCGATTCAGCTATTCTGTCTGGCTGACAGGAACAGCGTGAGGGGGGGGGGGGGGGGGACGAGCCGACCGGCTCTGTCCCCCCTTTGGTTTCTTCAGGTCCTCTCTGTTTCGTTGTCAAGCACGAACTGAATCATAAGACTGAAACTTACCAAAAGCCTTTCTCTTCTCAAAGCAAAACGTGTGCGTCAGCAAATGTGTTTTGGAGTTTACTGTGAGAATCTGTGTGTGGGTGTGTTTGAGTGTGTGTGTGCTTGAGTGTGTGTGGAGGTTAACAAACATCCTCAAACATTATTTAATTAAGTATGGATTCATTAATCCATTATAATTACCCAAAGCATAAGAATCATTCATTTGATTAAAACACATTTATAATGAGCAAAATGATAATGATTAATCTTTAACATTAAAATCAAGAAAGGAAGTTTAAGACATGTTATGACTACATTTCCTGGGAACCATCTTCTGGCAGACTGCAGGTGGCAGATGTTATGGTTTCCAGCAGACTCTTGCAGACTTCATGTCTGCAAAGGTCTCAATCTTTGGGTGAAAGTTCTCAGCGACCCAGCTTTGACCCAGCTGAGTCCAACACCACCTTTGTAACAGAAAACCCATATTTCCTCACGTTACACTGTCATGCACATGGACAAAATTGTTGGTACCCTTCAGAATCAGAAGGGTTTTATTGCCGTAAGTGAGAGAATCACAACATTAATAAATTGCTGCAGTACTTGGTGCAAGACAAAATAAATGATGAGCAAAAATTTGAATTACAAAATAAGTACGAAGGATTGTCATGGGGGGCGCGAGATGCAGGAGAATCCATTATTTTTAGCATATATTTTCATGCTAACCCACCCTCAGTCACTAGGTGAAAGCAGCTGCCTGTTGAACCCAGCAGAAGAATTTAAACTAAATTGACCATTACTGGTTTGCAAAAGCATGTAAACAGTGAGCAACTCAAGTACTAAACAAAAGGAAAAGTAAAGCTTGAAATAGTTTTTTTTTTTTTTTTTGTGATTTTTAGCATTCCTTCCACTAGTTCAAGCCCATGTTCAGTTATCAGAAGAAGTAGTGCACCTAGGTGGGGATCATAAAGAGCAGTATTTACATAAGTTGAGTGTTGTAACGTCCAGAAAGGGTCAATTTTCACCTGTATATTGACCACAGAGTGACTGGTTATCTACAGATATAATTCCATTCTCTAAGTGGATTTTAAATCCTATCTTCTACAAGCCAGAGAGTTCTGCAGTGCTTGTTGACATTACTGGAGGTCAAGATTGTCAGCCTGTGTTCCCAAACAAGGCTCTCTTCTGATAAGACTGCAGGATTTCACACTCTGAATAAAGAAGGAACTTTTATAATAATGAAATACGTAAATAATCATATGGCTGAATGAACAAAAATGGTTGAATAATAATAATGTTTTGATTAATCTGTGCCTAATCAATGAAATTGAAATTAATTACTGTATGACATTTATTACATTTATTAATTTATTACATTGAAAGACTTATATGTTATGATCAGTAATGTTTGATATGACAAGTTAATCATGATCTACACTCACACACATGCATATCTTCATGGCACAAGGTTACAGTTAAATGTCATGACACAGAGATTTTCTTATCCACAAATCAGAGCATCTTTTATCTGAGGAAGGAGTGTTTCTGAGGTTTATTTGGTAAAACCTCCTTAACATGGCATGCTGTGGTTTGCCAGAAAATCATAACATAGGAATTAATAAAACTTAGATCACTTCCCGAGTAGTTCAGTTCAGCTGAGCCGAGTTGAGTTTTTGAGCAGAACTTCGGAGTGGCCAATCCGGAGGGAAACTCTTCGAACCATCAAAGCTTTTGACAAGTTGTTAAAACCTGTTTGCACGCTGCAAAGCTGACACAACCTACGGTTCCCTAAGAGTCCAACCGTTTGAGACACAAAACAAGTTCACCTGTTTGATGTGACCTGGAGACGACTCTGGACTGACCTGGTCACATTGCGGGTAATCTACGACCTTCAGTGCCTTGGGGTCAGCCGACCCCCGACATCTCGGATCCAAAAGAGAGTCTCCATCACGGGTACATAGACAGAGCAAGATTGCGTCTGATGCCGTTTTATTAATAAATCAACTCTCTAGCTTATAGCAGGCCAAATTCTTTAACACCCAGAACTCACAGTTTCTTCCAGATACAAAGGTTCTGATAAACATCACATTCCATCTACACATATACATCCATCACACATTGTTTCATAGCTTGTCATGTATTATAATTAGTCTAAAAAATAAAAGTTTATTTTAATTATATACTTGACTCTGCCTAATTAATACGAAGTGTGTTTATGGTCACTGAATAAGCAAAGAATTCTAAATTATTCTGGTTAAACATCCAAAGATCAATCAGGTTGATATTCTATAAATATATACATCACATCTTATTGGTCATAATTAAACCCCCCAAAATACACTACGTCACATCATTACAGTGTTAACTGGCTTACAAACCTTAGCTTAATTTCTTTCTGCGGCTGTTCACCAATGTAAACAAGTTCCCGACTTTGCCAAAACTCACCTCGCTGGCTTCATAACATTATATTATAAACAGCGCTTCACTTTAAACCAAAGCTGATTTAAAAAAAGTCTGGATCCCTACTAGTCTTTGTTGCTGGTGGTGTCAGCTGCTGCTTTCATACCGGGACAAAGTAAGATGTTTATTTCTTCAAACTAAATAAATAATGTAATTTTAACTCATGTAATAATACATTGAGCAATAATATTGTAAATAATTATCTCGCATTTTTTTACAGTGGACGGCACCGCGCGTCCTCCGTGGAGAGGACGATATAACTCCGTACTGCTATTGATATAGTAGTTAACAAAATCAGGCGAGACAAATGTCTACGCTAAACAACAAACCTCATGGTGGACGTCATAGCACAAATAATAACACTGATAAACTCTACATACTTCAAAGATGGAACCAGCTGGAAGGCTTTGCCATGGGAAACCTACTTTTTGATGATCCCAAACAAACCACCAGCTGACTGGTTTAGTTCGCTGGACTCCTCAATTACTAAATTGCTTTGGCAGGATAAACCTCCACGAATTAGCTTAAAAATGCTTCAGAATACCAAAGACAGAGGAGGACTGGATTTACCCAACTTTTATTATTATTTCTTAGCCAACAGGCTGCAATATATACCAAGATGGTTGCAAGATAACCCACTAGACGAGTCCTGGTTAGATATAGAACAGGCACTTTGCAATACGAGGGAGCTTTCAGACTTACCATTTATTAGCTCAAGCATAAGAAAACATGAAAGCTTCAAAAGTATTAGTATCAGCACCTCTCTGACAGCATGGTGGGAGTATCTTAAAATGACAGCGTCTTCACTAATACCATGCAGATGCACACCTATCTGGAATAATCCTGATATTTTGCAAAATAACCAAATGATGAACCTTCCGGACTGGAAAAATAAAGGGATCCTTTACCTGGAACACATATATGAAGGACTGGACTTCATCCCATTTAATAGAATAGTCTTCCAATTCAGAATAGATAAGAATAGCTTTTTAGAATATCACCAAATTAAATTTGTAGTTAAACAAAAATTTAAGCTCAATAAAATAAAATTACAAACACCACCAAGGGTATTAGACTTTTATAATCTCAACCCCCCCAAACTACTGTTTAAAGTATATAAGACACTGTCCAAAATAGATGATAAAATAGCAATCCCTATTGAAAAATGGGAGGTGGATCTATCAGTTAGCTTTGACCAGAACTTCTGGTCCCAAACTTGTTTAAAAACTTTTGAAATGATCAGACACTCCAATTTACAATTAATTCAGTACAAATTTCTACACAGAGTACACTATACAGGTCATCGGATGTTCAAGATGGGGTTTGTGTCATCTGACACCTGTACACACTGCACAAACAACATTCCTGACAATTACATTCATGCACTGTGGTCCTGCCCACCTGTCCAGGAATTTTGGGGTAGAGTATGTGAGGATCTGTCAAAATGTCTGAAATGTCATATCCCAACCACCCCCTCTCTTTGTTTACTGGGGAAGCTGGACGACGTCCTGATTGAAACATCTTTGGCTCACGTGGTTCTGACTGCCATATGCATCGCTAAGAAAACTATCCTCTTGATTTGGAAAAATAGAGATACTCTTTGCATCAACCACTATAGAAATCTTTTGTTAGATCATATTACACTTGATATAGTCTCTGCTTCCACTTCAAATCATTCTCTCTGGGCTCCTTTGATCGGTTCCATCACATAGCGATGATGGGGGACCATTGATATTGTCCTGCGGGATGATGTGGGTGAGGGGGTGGAGGGTCTGAGTTTGGAGTATCCGGATGTTCCCTGGGGGTGTCCGGGCCTGGGGGGCCGTTGCCCCCCTCTAGAGGTGCTTGGGTTGCCTCGGGGGGTGGACTACTGGCGGTCGTGAGTGGGGCCCCTTGGAGGTCTTGGCGGCGGCCATGGGTCACTGCCTGGCAGGTGCATTGCCCCTGGGCAGGTCTGGGTGGGGTCCTGGGGGCTCGGGGTGTGGGGGTTGCCGGCCCGGTGTGGGGATGTGGGCGGGGCCTTGGGGGTCGGGTCCTGACATGTATGCTGCCGGGAAGAAGGCAGGAACATGCAGCAGTGCCTGGCCCGGGTTCAGGGGCCTCGGGTAGATCTTGGCTCCTCTGCTGTCCCATCACAGGGGAAGGGGAGGTCCAGGAGGGGGAGGACCCAACCTTACCTGGATGTCCTATGTCTTATATATTCTGGAAGTTGTGCAAATGCAGGGATGGGCATAGATATTCTGCTGGGGTGGGGCTGGGTTGGTGCCCTCGGACTCAGTGAGGCTCTGCAATGCTGCTGCTTTGGGCCCTGGCAAGATGGGCTGGGGTCTCCATGCCCTGGGTGGTATTTTGACAACAGAGGTGCCTATTGGGGCCAGTGGGGGAGCTGGCTCCATGGAGG